CCTCTGGAGCGAGGCCCGGGGGACGGGAGCGTGTCCTGCCCGGTGTGGGTGGCCGCGCGGGTCGGGTCGGGGACGTCGTCCTGTCAGGCCGTGAGGGCAGAGGCTGCCGGTGCCCGCAAAGGTGTTTTTCTTCGTCTCCTCCTTCTCCGGCCACCAGTAACACCTCGCAAAGCGGGCAGGGTGCAGGCAGGGGCCCGCCTGCGGGACGGGTTGGGGAAATTACGTGTTTTGCCTCTTTGTTTCTTGTCCCAGTGTTGATGAAACGATCGGTGTGCTGTGCCTCTCACTTCTTCACCAACTTTGTCCTTTTACAGTCTTTGGTTGCTGCCGTCCCCCTTTTCCTGTGTTGTAGCTGGTTTCAGTATGATCGGTAATCGGGGGCAATTCTGGCTGTGTTTCCCTCCTTGTTCCATTTGATAAATTTACCAGATTTATTGAGTATTTCTGTTGAAACGTGGAAGATCCTGGTAATGATAAAATGCTCTCTGTGGTATCTGTTGGCTTTTAGCTTTTTTCTACTTAGTGGCAGAAAATGAAATGTGTGCTAGAACCTCCTTGGCTTGTTTTAAGCGTTATGTCGAATGCACGTAAAAACTGCTCATTTAATGAGGTTAGACTGGGTAATACTTGTGGTGATCAGTGGTACAGCTTTCAGGAGAGGCAATCTTCCACCTTTTGTATATATATTAGTATACCTGTATACTAGTAATGGCCAAAGCATTTCTTACAGAGCTGTCTATGGTTATGTGATGTTTTTATGGGCAATGTGAGCAATTATTAAGAAGACGCCCAAGCTCCTGTTGCACAGGAGATGGCTTGTTTGTAGCGGTGGAGATTCTTGGTGTGACTGTTGAAAGACTTGTGAGCTAGCAGTTACATTGCAGAAGAAAGTCTAGGAGATATGTTCTTAAGTAAAACAGAATACATTTCTGTGTGCAGTAGGATTATCTGTGTTTATGAGCATGGAGATCTAGAGAGAAGTTTGCATTTTGGAGCCTGACATTCTGTAGGAACTTTATGTGTTCTCTCACCGAATATTCATGATGTTGTTCAGACTGTGATAAGTGTTTTGCACCTTCCTCGGTTATTAGAGGAGAAAAATGTTTTTGGAGGCTGTGTACAGAATGGCCAGGTGTCTTGATTGTACAAGCGTACCCCAGTGTCTGTGTATGGCTGGAAGTGCCCCAGATAACAGACGTGGAGAAGCCTATAAGCAGTTTGCAGGCAGGTGCTAGTTGGGAGGTCCCCAAATCTTTATTTCAGGATGGGATTGGACTGAGTGTACTTTTGGGTTCCTGGGTGAACCAGAATTATTGATTCCAGTAGTCCCTCCTGCCTTTCTTTCAGAATGAAGAACTTGTGTTTTCTAGCAGCCTCCACATCAGCACATGCCTGGTGTTTAGCCATTTGATACTGTAGCGCTCAGATAAAAGTTGGAGGCAGTGCCAAAAGCGACAGGCTGGTTGTCCGTTTCTGAGGTGAATTGCTTGCTAATAAAGCACAGAGTTTCTCTATATGGACGTATGAAAATGTCCAAAATACTGAACAGGAAAACAGTGTATCCGGGGTTTGATTGAAGACAGTAGTTGTTTGAACTAAATAGAAGCAATCATTTTGCCATAAAATGGTTCTGTATATTTTGCATGGAATTTCTGAAAAAAATCAGATTCAGAGACTGCTTAGAAATTGAAACAGGTAAATCTTTAGTGAACCTGTATGGCTGGATACTTAATGTTGCTTACTTATGAGGATAAAAATCCCCTCTGAAGACTGATGGAGGTGCATCATCACTAGAGAGCCTATTAAATGTTTCTTGACCTTAAAAATTATTTTCTTATTGTTATAAACACTGTACTACTTCGCAGTCTGTGTTACTGCTTTCTGGTTTTTACTCTCAGGTCAGATATCACTTATGTTTACTCCCTGCTCTGCTTGATGAATCATTCTCTAGCAAGTGGCTGTGAAATCTGTAATATGTATTCAGGAACACTAGAGAAATGTGTTTTACTGTAAAAATGACAGAAATGTCTAGCATTCTGTGTACAAAATTACTTTGTAGAGTTTCTGCTAGGCTAAAAAAAGTTACCTTCTGTTGCTTGCTTTTTTTCTCTGTCACTGTAATTATTCAATTTACTCTTTGATTTTATTCTTTAATTATCTATCTACTCTCAATTTTCTTCTCTCTCTCTTTCCTTTTTCTTGTCTTCCAGTTTTGACTGTACTAACACCATTGCTGGTTTGCTACTTTTAGAGTGTTACCTTCTCCCAGTATCTGTACTTGGCCATCAGACACTATGAGGAGACTGGCTTTTCGAGGTGCTGGTTGTACTCTGGTAAATCTGGTAAATTATTGATTGTATGTGCACCGTTCTCTCCATTCCTCTGCCTTAGGCTTTTGCTTTTCTTTATCCTAACTGTTAATTATTCCTGCCTTATTCTTATTCATCTCATTTGTGTGCTTGAAATTAATTCTGTCTCTAACATAAATGCTGTAATGCTGCCATATCTTGTAAATCAACCGAGTGCTTCCTAGAAGAAATTCCTTGATTTAGTTGGAAAATGGTATAGGCTGGGATAGATGGATCTATTCTGTCTTCAGCCTTTGAGACAGCTACAAATAAAGATATTTTTCTGATGCTGTCACTGGAAGTTGGGAAAGAGCCAACAACTTGTTCCGTAAATCACCATAGTTGTTGGATGGTGGTTATTAATTTGTCACTGTTTGTGTTGGTAAATAGAAAACTATGGCGAAAAAAGGAGGTGGCTTTTTCTACTTCTTGATGATTGAGCCACTCATCCTACACATAAAGTGGGAGTGGTAGGTCACACGATGGTCCAGACCTTTTTTTGGCTTGAATCTGAGACAAGGTGTTCAGTAGCCATTTGAATTTTCGTTTGTAATTTGTTTTCTTCGTGGTTTTTTTTTTTGTTTGTTTGTTTGGGTTTTCTGTTTGTTTGGTGGTAGTTGGTTGTTTTTTTTTTTTAATTTGACATGCAATGACGTGCTTTTACAGCAGAACTCAGCACATGTCTCTGTACAGCTTTTTCCTTTAAAACAGTGGGTCTCGCTTAGTTATCATGCATGGGATGAGGTATCAAAATGTAGATAGTTTAAGAATATAGCCTAGTGATTTATCTTCATCACTGTGAGCCCTAGGCTTTCTTGCATTGCTGTAATTGGTGACTATAAAACTGTAGGACCGTTTTGATTTCCCTTTACTCTTGCCAATTTTCAAAAAGCTGGTGTTTAGATATATGGCTTAACTGAACTGTAGTATGTTACAAACATATGTGACTCATCCTAAGCATTGCTAGCTTTATAGTTAGCTCTCACCAGAGAGTTTGGATGCAATGCCGTGAGTTTAAGAACATCTGTCTTCATTATAGAAGAAGTTGGATTCCATGGGTTCCAAGAGGCGAAGAGCTACCTCGCCTTCCAGCAGCGTCAGCGGAGGAGACTTTGATGACGGCCACCACTCCACGAATATACCAGGCCCAAGCAGAAAGAGAAGGAGACTTTCCAATCTCCCAACTGTAGATCCTGTTAGTACCTTCTTATTACGCACAACTTTTTTTGTTGGGGATACTGTATCCCTGTCTGGGAAATGTTGGATTGTAAAATGGATGATCATATGTAGCACATATACACTGGCCCTGAATGCTGCCTTGGCTAATCTTTGTTTAGGATCTCGTTCAGCTTTGGCTTGTTCTTGTCTCCCCAGTTTCATCTTTTCCTTTCCCATTTTCCTTTTGCTGCTTTTCTTTTTTTGCTGATGATTTTAACACATGGAAGGATGTTGAAGAAGGAGCTGAAATCATAACGTGCAGAAGTTGAGAGCTGTGTCTGAATAGCAAATGCAGAGAGAGATAAGTGGGGAATGGCACAGGCAGTGATTGCTGAAGTGTACAATGTCTCTGTTATGCCTTTGAGTTAGCAGTCTGATTTTAATTAATTGCAGGGTGGAAGAACCCCTGTCGTTGTTTTAGATGTCTATAACTTGGAGAGAGTTGTACTGAATTAATTTACATTTTGGTGTTTTACTGAGAATTAGCATTGAAAGAAAGCTCCGTACGTTCAAAAAAAAAAAATTAAAATTCTGCAGTACCTGGCATGCTTGTCAGGTACCGTACTAATGTATGAGATGCACCAATTTCTTCATACTTCTGCTTTAGAGCACACTGTGGATTGGCAGCTTGTCTTTCCCATTGTAAGCAGGCTTTGATTTGTTACCTCCTTAAAATTTTCTCCTTTTTCATTACCTTATTGTTCTTGCATTTTAGATTGCTGTATGCCATGAACTTTACAACACCATCAGAGATTACAAAGATGAACAGGGCAGGCTCCTTTGTGAGCTTTTCATTAGGGCACCGAAGCGAAGGTAAGGCCATGGTTCTGGTTAAGCTTTGAACCTGAGATTTAATCAGGGAGTAAATGGAGTAAATTGAGGAATACTTCAGCATTAATAGCTGTGAAAAATTTAAGCTAAACTTGTCATAGTTTCACACCAGCGTTTGATCCGAGTATTTGATGTAATTATTCAATGGACGTGCTAACATTGGTCCCCTTTTTCAGTCAAAAAAGGATATACTGAATTAATTTAAAATGTTTCTTGTGACACCTGCCTAAAACATCTATGTCTTTGACTATAAAATATTCCACATAAGTGGTGGAATGTAATACTAAGGGCATATCTTGGGAAGATTAATAGAAGTGATCCTTGAAAATGCAGTAGATAAAGTAAGAGACTGAATTTTATCTTAAACTCAGAAAATTGAGGATGATAACAGAACATGTAATAAAGTAAGCCTACTAATAGACCACTGTCCAGATCTTTTAGCTGTACCAAAAATGTATTGGAACTTTCTTTGTTTTATTTAGTCATAGACACGAACAAACTTTAGTGCTGTGGTTTTGGTTTTACTGCTTGGAATATAATGCCTGTTCTTGTCATTGCAACAGAAATCAGCCAGATTATTATGAAGTGGTTTCTCAGCCAATCGATTTAATGAAAATCCAACAAAAGCTAAAGATGGAGGAATATGATGATGTGAATGTGCTGACTGCTGATTTTCAGCTTCTCTTTAACAACGCAAAGGCTTACTATAAGGTGAAGAAAATACATATAAAGGCTCAAATTCATTGTAAAAGTGGTAGAGATATGTTCGAGTTCTTCCTTGGTTTGGCCAAAAAACTTTTCAGTTTACCATTTATTATTGGTAAGAGAGTAGCACATATTGCAGTTATTTGCATATATTTCCATAAGGTTGACCGTATCTTTGTAAGACATTCTACTATAGCAATTTTTCTGTGGAAAACTATAAAATAATGTGGGGAGGGTCTTCATGTAGTTTTCCAGAAGAGATAGAAAGCAAAAATATGTAAATTGAGAAAAATATTCTTCTATCAAAGCCTTCCCATTTTACAACACACTCTGTGTGACCTTTTGAAATAGGACAAGATTATTTTTTTCCCAAAAGGAAGAGTTTATAAATAACAGCAAGCATACAGTAGGAGTATTGAATCTTTCTCTTTCATTGGCCACTTAATAATATGAAAAAAAGGCACATTGATTATCATGGTCAGTGATGATAGATTGTGAGTGTATGTGACGATGTATTTCATTAAGGGTGCAACCTCCATGTTCATTCCCCCAAACTGGGTACACGTTTTATTTCAGATGTTAATGGTTTTTATTGCAGTTGCCCTAAGGAAGTGAGAAAAAATTGGATTAATCTCGTTTAATGGAAGGCTATGTTAAATACATAAAACAGTAAAATTGTATGTAGTGACCAAGATGATACAGCAAATCTGAAACTGGTAGTATTACCTTTCACGTATTTTTGACTTTGGAGATGATCCAAGTGACTGCTTTCTGAATAATCCAACCAGTGTAACCAGGTGACATTCAGAAGAGCAATGTTTATTTTGTTTACGTTTGTGTGTGTGCATAGCGTTTGAAAAACAATCAGATTTATGGATTAATGCATTTCCACATTCTGATTACAGTAGAAAACGTACAAAGATTTCCAAATTCATTGTGTAGTCCTGAAGCTTTGCAAGGCACTCGCCCATTAATGTTGGCTTTTTCATGGTTTCCACATGAGGGAGAAGGACTTGATGGCAGGAAAGAATGATTAAAGTTTTACAAAATGTGTGCTGCCTACAGAATAGCGGACTCAAAATTATGCCTGTATTGTAAAAAATCGTGCATGTAGAATAGATATAGGTAGCCATCATTCTAGGATGAAGGAATGTTGACATTTTCAGAGAAATACGGACTTGTGAGCTGGAGGTATGGCACACAAACATAACCTCTTCTTTTTTCATCTTTTACCTTACCCACAGCAGTTCGAATGACACATATAAAACAGGGATGGCTGATTTATTGTCGAAGTCTTTATTGCAGCAGGTGTTCTATCGGCAATGCTAGATTAGAGTGGAAACCTTTGGTTTTTAGTATTTCAGTTCAAGTCTTACACTTTTGAGCATCTTGCATTAGTATAGAAAGAAACAGACCAGTGGAGCAGAATACCCTTTAAATCTGTTCCTCATAATTAACACCTGGTCTAATGTCTTGAGGATATTTAAGCCTAATAAGGTTAAGCTTAAGAATAGATCTCATGTTGGTTTCTTATTTGTGTTACAAGCTGTCAGAGGTTGAGAGAGTGAAGAAAAGTGTAATCAGCAGTAATAAGGTGACATACCTGCAGGAATTCCTGAAATAGAGGTTAAGTGACAGAGGAAAGGGAAAGAAAGATACAAAAGAGTGGAAAAGCAGTCTTTTTTCTGGGTAATGTTCTTAAGTAGTAATGTTAATAGGCAGATGCTTATCTGCCACTACCAACTCAGTATTTACAAAACTTAATTTGCTGACTAATGCTTCTAGTTCTTCCAAAAAGTATACCTAGATGTATACCCAGGTGGTAGCATGTTGTCAAGTTCTTTGGAATTTCACAGTTAATGCTGAGTTATGGAAGAGTGTAAATTATTGCAGTGCTTTAAAAGATACTGGCACGTTTGTTGGCATTCTTCTTCCGTAGAAATTAATTTTCAAGTGGCACACAGTGGCAGCAGTATTGGCTTAAATCACACTTCTGGCATACTGATATTTAGTCTGTTTTAAATACCAGTAGTGTTATGCTGCAACAAAACCTAATGATTTCTCCAGATTCATCTAATAGCCTTGTCAAAGCCTCAATCCAAGTAATGTTATTGCTAAGTTTTCCAAAAGACTTAGATGCTTTGGAGTGATAGGGGTTATATTTTCTAGTGCTTATTGCGATTTTTAACATCACTGTTGAAGAATGACTGAAGCAGGAATTTCCCAGGTTTTCTATTATTTATTTAATGCATTTAATATCTTTCAACTGATAACTTATAAATTTCCTTCAGATAAGAATGATCTGAATTTTGAGTAAAATGTTTGATTTTTTTTTTTTTTTTTTTTTTTCCAGCCTGATTCTCCTGAATATAAAGCTGCCTGCAAATTATGGGAGTTGTATTTGCGCACAAAAAATGAGTTTGTTCAAAAAGGTGATGCTGAGGAGGAAGACGAAGATGAGGAAGGACATGACAATCAAGGCGCAAATTCTGAATTAGTAAGTGTGGGCATGACAGCCGCAGTTGGAGGAAGCCATGGCTGTGTACGTCGGCTGAGGGAGATTGGCCTCCATATGTGAAAAAGCATTAAGTATTTTCATAGTTAAATTATGCCCCAAAAGGTATTTCTTATACAAGTTTATTAGTTAATAATTTCACAGCATTGTATCATATTTCACTTTTGCCTAGCAAAAAAAAAGTTAAGAGGTTTTCTGATACGGATAAAACGTGGTTCTGGTTTAGTTGAAACTAATACGATGTGTGCTTGATATCACACCAACACTGAGGTTTGATGCAAGCAAGCATCATGTCTGATGACATCGTTTTCCAGCATGTGTCCCATTCAGTTAGTGCAGCTGTTCTGGAGTGGTTTAAAAGCCGGGTATGATGATAGGAAGTTTGGGCTTGTCTGTTTTTTTGTGATGTTGGGATGCATGTTTTCATTAATATTGACAACCAAGTCTATTCTAACAATATATAATGTATGTCTTGACAGTCTGCAGGATAAATGTGAAATTAATGTTTTCTCATGTGCTTTACCTAAATGCAGAAACAATGTTGTTTTCAAAAGTTGCACCCATGTTTTGTAGCTGATTTGTTTTGTCTTGAAAAGTAAATTCATGTGTTTCAGTGCAACTTGAAGCACTCCGCTATGTCTGCTATTAAAACTTCTTGTGATTTCACTTCTTGTATTAGTCATCTCCAGGTTACCTGAAGGAAATTCTTGAACAGCTTCTTGAAGCTGTAGCTGTTGCCACAAACCCATCAGGACGCCTCATAAGTGAACTGTTTCAGAAACTTCCTTCTAAAGTGGTGGGTATTTTAATAATATTTGTTGTGTTCTAAGTTGGAAACCTGGACATTTATATAACTCATGTTATTCACTATGATGGGCACAGTCAGGATGCAGTTCTTTGTTACTGTCTCATAAGTGGCAAACTCCAGCTGTTTTTAAAGCTTCCCTCCCTTCTTTGTTCCTGCCCACTCGTTCCCAGCCCTTCATTGCAGACTGGGACTTGCCCTGTTCTGCCAGTTTAGTTATTTGGGGTTTTTTGGTGCAGAGTTTTTAATCTTTTAAATATGTCTGATTTCACTGTTCTGTTTTAGGGTGTGATGTAACAAGTTTAACCAGCAAAATAAATACTCTGAAGACCATCGCCATGTATTTGGCTTTCAGACAGAACCGTTCCTTTATGTCAGTTTATTGATGAATTATAATTCCTTGTATCTGCCTTATGATCTGGCTCGCCCAAATTGAAGCCTAGTGCTGTGTTTATGAAGCATACACATACATCTGCAATTGATCTAATAGCTCATTTCATGAGCTATTAGAACAATAGCTTTGTGACTGTTTATAGTAATATATAAATTATTTTTGTTTTCCAGCAATATCCAGATTATTATGCAATAATAAAGGAGCCCATAGATCTTAAAACTATTGCCCAAAGGATACAGGTACAGTATGAGCATATTAATGTGTCCTAGTATAGGCTTGTTTAACAGTAAGCATTCTGAAATTGTTAGAAGCCAAAGTTTATGGCAGTAGGAAAGGCAATGTGTTTTTCCCCTGCTACTTAAAAATCTGAACGCTATGCTGATTTAATGTTCTGTCCTGGGTTAATGCTGCAGAAGTAGCTGTGTTGAAGATAAAGCATTGTAAACTGTAGTGTGCTGGCATTGAACCTGAATATCTTGGGTCCTTGATGTTTAACAGTTTAGAGTAGTTCCTTGGCAAGTACTGCTAATGTAAAGCATTGAGGTATTGAAGCTTGATGGTGCATTATCATCACCTACTTTTGTTCCAGTGCTATAAATAGATGTTTTGTACTGATGCATTTTTCATCTTGCTTCTCCAGTAATTTGAAATATTGTTCTGTAATTCTAGCATTTTGTATCATAGTGAGGGGTAGCACATAGACTAATTGAGCTAGAGAATAAAGGTAAAATAACATTTTGTCAGAACCCTTCAACATTAAGGGTTCAAATCTAATGTATTTAGTATTTTTTCAGTCTTTTACTTAGCATTTGTAAGCGCTACAAAGACTTAGCACTTCTGTTACTTTCTTTTTTGATGACTTTTTCCAGATACTTATCTGTCTCTTTATAAATATGTTCTTGTTTTTCTATAAATGTTCTATAAATGTTCCCTTTATTCTGTATGAATTCTCTTTGCTTTTCACTATTGACTTAGTTCTCATGCTGTCTGAAGATTGCCACTTTAACCAGTTCTGGTTTTTGTTGTATAGAATGGAACTTATAAAAGCATTCATGCAATGGCCAAGGATATAGATCTTCTGGCAAAGAATGCCAAAACCTACAATGAGCCTGGATCACAAGTATTCAAGGTCAGTTTCAGTTGTTTGTAGTTTGATTTGAGTTCAGATTTTCTTTACTACTTTCTGTGCTGATTGATCCTTAGATAAATCTTTAGCATAAGGCCCTAAAAACTCTGTTTGCATTTAAAAAAAAATAGCTATTAGTGGCTTTTCCTTTTTTATATTGCTTTTAGTGTAATTGGGGTGTATGTAATGCTTTTTTTTTTCTTGAAGTATATGATGTTTTCCAATTAAATTTTATCTCAGGATATGAGTTACTTGACTTCTTTGGAGGAATGGAGGATCCCTGTAGTTGTGATAGAAGTTGAAGTGGCTGAAACTATGGGTTCAAGTGATAGCGGTAGTACTCAGCTGTTATCTCTTTCCAGATTACAGGAACTGTTTATGGTTTTCATCATAAGCTTGAAAACCGGAGTCAGGCCTTCTTTGCACAGGTTTTGAACATCCTCTTCCTTTTAGCCATATTTTTGTGACCAAAAATGCACCTCCTATCTTTTTCATAGTTAGTTCACCAGCATTTTGTCTACAAGTTATGACATTGCTGTTTCCATGTACTCTGGAAATAAGAGAATTTCAGTGGTAAATTATTCCTTTGTGTGCTCGGTTTTTAAGGGCTTTGTAGTGAGAGACCTTGTATATGTATAATGTTATTATGTAAGTGGTTCTTGGACTTTGCCAATTGCACTTCTGTTTGGATTGTAGTTGCAGTTCCTACTGATGTTACTCACACTTGTAACCTCACTCAAAACTTGTAATTTCTGTTTTGTGAACTGCTACTCCGAGTATCGAGTCCATGGGTGTAGAATGAGAGAGAGCAAGCGTTGTAAAGCTCAGTAATTGTAGTAACTTTTTGATTGCAAAGGTACAGAAACTAATTTGCCTGTTTTCGAAGTGGTATTCATGTATATTTGCAAATTATAGTTTGTTTGGTTTTTTTTTTTTTTAAAAGGATATGACAAAAAATGAGCTTGAAGCTATTCAGCTATTCTATTCAGTTTTTACAGGCCACTGTGGGTGTATTTCAGGCAGATTTTGTTCTATGCTTCATTTTTGATGCAAAATTGTTTTATATCTAAATGTAAAAACCCCTTCATTTTTGTTTTAAATTTTTAGATAGATGGATATACCTGACTATAAAATTCTTCACTTTCAACATTAAATAAAAAAATTCTTTTAATTGACAGGATGCAAATGCGATTAAAAAAATATTTAATATGAAAAAGGCTGAAATTGAACACAGTGAGTTGGCCAAATCAAGTCTCCGAATCAGGTACTGCAAATAGAGTTCTTTTTATAATCTCATATAAAAATCTCTGTAGACATTCTCTTAATTTTGCTGTGGAGAATATAGTGGGAAATAATTGCTTGAAAACTTAGTTTATTGTTGTTTTGAAAGTTATGGATTGTAAAATAGTTTTTTGGAAGGAAACTTTCTATTGAAATACTTCTGTGGTGAAATATTTCTGTGATGTACTTGATTATGAAAAACAGTGTCATTGGATCTTTTATAACTTAAGCTGTGGCCAACTTCGACCATATGTGTTTAAAGTTAATAACAGAAAAGGAGTAGTGGGGAACAAGGTGCTGTGTTGTGCTTTGCTTCACGAAAATGCTGGATATTCTTGAACCTTGTTAGGAGCTGAAACATAAGAGCTCACAGTTAATTAGGTAGGGGCAGAAACACAGGAACAAGACATCAAGCAACAGGTATTTAGAGGGAAGTCCACATGTAAAATCCTGTTTGAAAACCAATTTCTAGCTATGAAAACAGGCGCAGGACACTGAAGATCTGGACTTACTAATTAGTGAAGCATAGATTTGGTCTTGAACAGACAGGTATAAAACACTGTTGATAACTCCATTTGTTTCATGGAATGATTTTTTTTAGGAAACAGCATTTTCTTCCTGTGAAAATCCATGGTGTACAGAGAAGCGATGCAGTCTTTTTAGATTTTCTTATCTAAAATGCAACTAGATTTATTGTCATATAAAATTTTTACTTACGAGTAACACTCAAAAGTAGGTTTAGAGATTATTTGACAGTATGAGCTGTGTCATTTATCTAAAAAAATAAAGCAATGTTTTGCAAGTCACCCAAGGAGTTAGCAAACTCTTTACAAGATGGACTCTCTTTATGTATTTGAGCTGTTTACTGGTATTTGATGCTGGAAAATAACTGCTGTCCTTTCCTGAAAAGGTTTGTATGGTACAACTGAGAACACTAGCACTCCCTTACTTTACTGAAAGGCAGTTTAAATTTTTTTGTTATCTGAAAGATGTGTAGATGGTTTCAGTATTAAAAGTATTGCCTAGGATTATGATGTGTGAGAGAAATGGAATGATTGATTTTTACTGTTTGGTGCTTTGAGACATTCAACCTATGTAGTGGTTTTTCTGGTTCGTTTGTTCAGCGTTAGCATGCTTCCCATGTTTAGGTGAATCACTGTTGGAGCATATAAAAATACAAAAGCAGAAATACTGTTAGGGAGTAATTCCTGACACGTATTTTAATAATTTTCCTTCTTAAAAGTATGCGTAGTGCCAGAAGACCTTGATTCTACAGGCACTGAATGTACATATATGTTTGCTTTGCAGTAACTAGAATTACATATACGCATAGAAGTTTTATATTTAAATTGTGATTTTATTTTATTTTGTTTTTCTCACTGTGTTGGCCATTGATGAAGGTCAGGATGTCACAAGTGTGTGTCATGTTTAATTTTGAGGCTTAACTGTTTTTCTTCAAAATAAAGCTGTTTGCATAAGAAGGGATGACAGATAAATCACACTGATATTTGTTAGCTGAATTCCTCTCTTGCACTGCCAACCCATTTCCACTTCTCAGCTACCTTATTCTAGATGTTCTCTTATGTACTATGTTCTCAATAGACCTGCAAATCCTGAAGTAAGCCGAATGTCAGAATAATTGACAGCTTCCTTCTTTGTTTCTCTAACTTGGCAAAAAGAAAAAAACCTATAATGCTTGAAGCTACAATATATGTTAATATAACAATATAATTATAGCCTCAAGCTATAATGCTTGAGGCTACAATAATATTGGGCTGAATGCAAAAAAATTTGGGGTGGGAGAAAAGTATCATGAAAGCCAAACTTTTCACCTGCTGTTCTGCATTTCACTGGTTTCTTTTTTTATCAAACCATTGTTCCTTTTTGTGTTACTTTCTGCTGAATCTGGATCACAGAATCATTATTTTTTATTTAAATTCCTGACTGCCTAATTGTCTCGGAGGGAGGTCTCCTTTATCTATTGCCAATTTTGGTAAAATACCCCCATAAGTTCCTTTAAAGTTAATTTACTATATTTTTCTTCTGAATTTACATCTGTTTTTCTTTGTCATTGATGGATCAGGCTCAAATTCATTGTAACGCTACTAACCTAAGTTTTACAGACATGTTGCCTCTATGTCAAAAATCATGCTTTTCTATTGCAGAGTTCATGGTATCCTTTGTCATACTAAATTGCTCTTTGTTGGTGCATTTAACTGTCCTCCCTTAAATAAAGTGACAAAATAAAGTTGCCTGACAATATGCACTGTCAAGCAACTTGACAGTGATTTTGTTAAGTATTAATAAAACATGATTGAATTTGTATGATTAGCTTTATCTGGATGCTAAGGAACATTTTGTTGGCTGCTTTCACTGCTATTGTAGGCTGAGCTGTGTGTATAGCTATTAATCCTCAGTCTAAATGTTACTTTCCTCTGACTTTATAAACAAACAAAATCAATATTAATGCTGGGGCACTAAATATATCTTAGTATTACTTTACTTTTAGCTTTAAAACATTTTATATCTGTCTCTGAACCTTTTGGCTGATCTATCAAAGTAATTCCGTGAAAAGCTTTATCCTTGCTGCGTCTTTTCTTGGGTCTAAGGTGGGCGTCTTTTTTTCCCCTTTTCTTGGCTTGCCTCTTCTGCCTTGAGGACTCCATCAAATTTGACTGCTTCCAAGCTGACAGGTCCTTCCTCACAGGGTAAAGGCAGTGTTGGTGATGAGAGAAATTCTTCTAACAAATACTATCGGTAAGTAAATTGTGGACTTGGAGGAAAAGCTGGGTCGTCATCATATGGAAATACTAAAATTAAAAATTTTGGGTTTTGTTGGTTTTTTTTGTTTGGTTGTTTTTTTAAGTTGAACGTGCTCTTCAATATTTGAAATTCAAATATATTTCAGTCAAATATCTATTAAGTATGATTTAATAAGTTACTTTGCCATAATTACTCTTCCATGTTTGATTTTATGTTTAACATTTCAAAACACCTGTCATGAAATACTCGGTATGCAATTATTTCCTTAGAAATGTTCTGAAGAACAATGTGTTAAGCTTCATTACAAAATAAAGCAGGTGAAAAATAACATGGAAATGTGTTGTAGAAAAATTGTATTTGGAATTAAAAAGAAATAATAAGTAGGACTAAGTAATTAAGAGATGGATGATGGAAACCAATGAAGCCTGTAAAAAGAAAGTATTGTATTTGGGATGCATTTATGGCAAACTTGCTGGGTAGACTGGGTTAGTGGAGGCTTTCTGGTTGGTTCTTTCTGTCATCGGTTGAGAATTTTGCTACTTAGCAGAGGTCTCATGTCTACAGTCTGTGGGTTAATGTCTTGAAACAGTACTACTCCTGGCTGATTCCCTGTGTGTATACTCTGAAACCATGGTTTAACACAGCAGCTGCAAGGGTCTTTAAGGGATTGAGCATTTGTACAGAGTTGGTGTCATTTTAAGCAACCATCTGCTTTTTCCCAGTCTTCACTTTACTCCCACAGGGCAAGGTTGAGCCCATTGCTGGAGGTGCCTAAAGAGCTGACCTAGTAAAAAAGCAGATTGTCAGGCATAGCCTACAGTGTAGGTATGAAATGCTTTGCCCCAGGTTTGGGACAAAAAGGAGAAGGAGAGGGATGCTGAAGAAGTCTTTGTGAGACCATAGCCAGCATGGACGCTGATTTACTCCACCTAGAAAGCAGAGGAAGCTGCTTCACATACAGGCACTCTGTGTGCTGAAAATGCCTAAGGTGGGGATGGGGCAATGCGAGAAGATAGCATATACAGCTTACAGCGTGCTGAATTCCTGTGTGTAGACAAAACCCTGTAAAACAGGATCAAATAACAGATTTATTAATTGGGAGGGACTTGTTATCATCCCCCTTCTCCCCCAATAATTCAAATACTCAAGTATTCAAAATGGGACAGTAGATAGCTTGAGCTCTAGCTTTCTGATCGTGTGTCCAGTTTTTCAGTTTGATGGACCGCCTCTTAAAATAGAGGCAGACTCATGGGTCGTTAACAGTTTCCCTTGTTAAGGGCTCCAGTCTTTGCTTGCATAGTCATGTTTGTATTCCTGGTACTGTAGGCAACAGTCACAAGCTTCACTTGTTTACTTACACACTCTGGGTGACTGTTAGTAGTTAACATGATAACCCCCCTTTTTTTTTTTTTTTAATTTTGCACTTTTTTTTCTTTTTTCTAGTAACAAAAGATCAGCCCAAGGGGATCGTTTATCAGCAATAACCATGGCATTGCAATATGGATCAGAAAGTGATGAGGATGCAGCTTTGGCTGGTAGGAACTGAAATGCAGTTTCTCTATTTATTTTCTTTAATTAAAATGTTTGGAATAAGTAAAACTGTTGAGCTCCTGATACATTCAAATATCTTTATTTCAAAAATATTTTGCAGTGTTTCCAGACTCAGCGTGTAATTCTGTTAAATCCAATCCCTGTTTCCTCTAAGTATGAATTTATGAATGTACAGCTCGTAAGATAGGGTAGGCCCAACTTGCTTGCATGTTTTGAATTTATTGTGTATGTTTCCAAGTATACTTACCCAAGCTTTAGGAAACTGTTGCTTGTTTTTATTCCTTCTAATATGAAACGGACGAGGAGATACTGGAGAAGACATTGGGTGCTCCTTGCAGTAAGAGATCTACAGTGCTGCAATTGTTTGAGAGAAATCTCACACTGGCTCACACTGGCTTATTCTCTCTTGCTCTCATGTGCCATTGGGTCTTCTAAGTACCTGTCAGGTTTTATTTTTTTAAGGTGAAGATAATCTATATGAAATATAAGGATAGATAAATGTTAGAACTTAATTTAGAAATATCTGGTCAAGCCTAGCAGTCATGAAATCTTGCATGAAGGTTTATGTTAAAACAAAAGCACATAAAAAGGCATGCCTTCAAACAGCATCCTTAGTTTCATAATAAGCATGCTTTTGCATTATACTATAAGCATATATGCCATCATATATGCATTATATCAGATATTTCAGTATTGGTCATAAATTGTTATAGGTTGTCTTTTAAGTTAGCCTGACTTGATAGTTACATTCTCAGTAACTTCCTTGCATTCATCTCAGAACAGGTTTCTGAAATGTTTTTGTACATATACCGTTGTTTTATTTTTTTGTTTACATTATTTCTGTATCGATGTGAAATGATGCATCTCTTCAATATATATTTTTCAGGCATTTATTTTACACCTGGTAACTGAATTGTACTCACCACTGTTTTCCAGTGGATGGATATGCTGTAGAATTTTTTGGATCATTTTAGATCTTGCTGCAAGCAAAAGCATTTTTATTCCTGGTTAGCCCAGAGTTCAGTTATTGCTTCAGAGCAGCTGCTTTCTGGGAGGTGTGAGGAGTATTTATTAGCTTGGTTCAGTGTGATTGTTAACTGCTATTTTTGCAAATTATAGAATCATAGAATCATTAAGGT